TGATTAACACATGATTTTTATATTATGTCTATCTATTTTAACTTAATTATTTATTAATTTTACTTGGAATATGAGCAATTTTTTTAGGAAATGCTCGAGTAATTATACCTAACGAAAATTTCGACTACCTCCTACATGTAACTTTCTTAATTATTAGAAAATTAATCTAAATTAATTTAGTTGTTCGTCATTTGTTGGACGAGCTGGCGGCAGACAGAATGTATGGTTAGCTAATAAATGTTATACAAAGGGAATCATTGCACATGAGTTGATGCATGCAATTGGATTCCTTCACGAGCATTCACGTACCGACCGCGATGAATATTTAGATATTATCAAGGAAAACATTTTACCCGGTACTCGAGATACTTGAGCTTGGAACTCTCTCTCTTCCTTCTTAATCAATATTAAGCTTAACTGGGTTATTATGAAAGCAATCAATGTAAACATATTTGAGACTCAATTTTTCCAATTTAAAAGAGATTGGAAGGAAAATTCATAGCCACCTTTCCTTGCTATAATTTTTCTAATTGGATAAGCTTATCTCTCAGAAATATTTTAAAAAAAAATTTTATCTTCGTCGAATTCTAGGGAAGCTATCGAATTTTGAGAAATATCCAGGAGTAATGATTAATTCGTTGGGAATGCCCTACGATTATGATTCGGTCACGCACTATCACAGATACACATTTTCCCGTAATGGCGAACCAACTATTTTACCTAAAGTTGGTAATTTACTTTTCTCTGCTAGGAAACTTATTATAATGTAAGACAATAGCAGTTGGTAAGGGTTGAAACATACATACTCCGAGAAGCTTCAAATAAGCTTAAAAAGCTCTGCTATCTATTAGTCGTCTGTGGTTGGGTATTCTAAATTATTTTTAAGCAACAGGTGAAATTAAATAGGAAAGTTCAATGACTGACACTGCTCGATTCTTTTGAATGTTGAAATAATTATTACACCAATGTACAATTTTGTTATCCTCCAAATTTTATATTCTTTTTCAAAATCTTTTCCCAAAAATTTATTTCTAAGCAAATTACATATTTGTACTACCACCAAGCAGTATATGCTAAAAATTTAGGATCAAAATGCGAAAATTGGACAGCGATACAGGCTGAGCGATATCGATGTCAAGAAGATAAACAAGCTTTATAAATGCAATAATCAGCTATCTGCAGCACCAGTGCAACCAAAAACACCAACTCCTGCTGATACAGTAACCGATGAAAGAACCCCTCCAACCACAATGTTCTTCTTCACCCCTAGCACAAGTGGTAAAACACTGCATCCATTTCATCCATTTTGGAACTAAAAGACCAGAGATTAATCACGGGAAAATCCAGACCTATTAGTGCTACCGTAAAAGCATGAAACGGTGGTGGTCACAGGTATTTTCAGTACTAATAAATTGTTGCCTGTGAAATGTGGCAACAAATTGGCTATTGTATATATTCGCCAAAATATATGGGTCATTACTGCAGAAAAGCATGCTGGCTATGTCATTACAGAGCATGTTAGTATTGAATTTATCTACGATGCAAAAGCAATATGAAGTAATAAAGTATCAGTGAATGATACTGTAATATTTCTTGGTCCAATTAATCACCTTTTGTAAGTTAAATATTTTTCAAGACAGAAAAAAAGTGCCTTCGACAATCATTTAGTTAAAGTTTCAGATGAAGAAGGATGTAATAACTGTGGCAGTAAAATGGAAAATGCTGTCTACGAATAAATGATGTCTAACAATCTCAATTAGATTGTGCAGTATTTCCATTTGTACTTCCTATCGAATGGACCTATAAAGCTTACAATGATATAAACACATTCCTATCAATAACTTATTAATGTATAATATGAAAAATAAACCGTTCCTTTGCTATACGATGCACAAATAAAAGAAGAGTCGTTTTTATGATCTTCCGGATCATCTTTCTTCATTTCGTCTCCTAAGATCTTATCGGGACGTAGTTCTGGTATCGGATTGTCCAGATTCATATCGTCCTCAAGATTTTTCGGAAGATACTCATAGTATTTAAACAGTCTTACTTTATATCGCTTGTGATATCTTTTCGGAAAATGCTCACGATACCAGTTGTATTATGATGCACTGTTTACGGATCTCTTACTGGATCAACAAATAACAGCCTGTTCTTGGCTTTTCTGAAGTCTTCCGGAAATT